CGTTGGGACCGACTGTCCACCGGTTCTTGTGGTGGAAACGGTATATAACTGTCGCACAGATCCTACAGTTTGTCCTATTCGTGACGTACGGCATAATCAGTGCTTTTCTGAGTACAGGCTATCCATCGGTTATCTATTGGTTCGTTTGGATTCAAAGTCCAATCTTTTTGTTGATGTTTTTAAATTTTTATCGCAACACTTATTCTAAACTGTTGTGGTAAGTCTTATGGAAAGACTACAAAAATAAAAAGATTCAATTATTTTTAATATTACTGATTTTGATAAACAATTCTTAATTTTATATTGATCAATATATTTGGTCTTTTAATGTGTTATAAAATGTTATTTAAATAATTAAAAGTAGATTTTTTAGATATAGTTTTAATAATTTTTTTTATTAATATAATATGTATGATTGGAAAGTATAAAGGCCTCTAAATATTAATATTTTTTTAATGTGCCTAATATTCATACGAGTATTTAGTAAGCAATGTGTATGGGGAGAACCTACAAATAGACTCAAGCACAAAGAGAAATACAAGTGTTTAAAATTGTGGAGGCCTTTTTACTTTCCACTCATACATATTATTTGAAACTTTTGTAACTTAATACGGTAATTATTAGAATTTTTTGATTTATAACAAGCTGCTTTATACATTATGCAAATTATGACTGTTATGTCAAACAATTATTTTAATCACTGATACTGTACGAATTTTAATTTCATTTTACAAATTTAGATTTTTTATTTGTAATGATTAAATTCAAAATTTAATTATGGCTTCATGGCCAAATAACAATAAAAATTTAATAGTAAAATAGTTATAAAATTAAAACATATATAGTGCTGTCGAGTGCTAATAAAATATTCACTAATAAAATATTAAAACCCATAAAATTATTCATTTCTTGTTTTAAATGGCGCTATAATCCTCTCATTTACGGTAAGTATAGACTCTCTGGCTTTAGACCACGAATTTGGACCTAGGATAAGACAATTTTAATTAATAATGATAGTCACATCATATTATTTAAAATGGTCTCACCCGTCAACCTGTACTGATAGGGAACGTAAGGACCGAAATACATGTGAAACCATAGCTTGGGGTCAGTAACGAAATATTTGCATAGATTTGGTTTGACGTCCATAAGGCCGGCCAACTCGTCCATGTATTTAATGTAATACACTTCCAACGCATGCTTTTGCCAGTCGGGGAAGTGCTGTTTAAGCCATTTCTTTCATCGCTTAATATCCCGGATCATCTGTTTTTGTGTCGCAAGTCGGCACTTATTAGCCATTACTAGCGCGAAATAACGCGACTGGAGCTCAGCTATGGGTAGCACAGCACCCGTGGGTACTATCATGCCAATGAATGCCAGGGTATGTGGGTGTGTCAGGGTGGTGGGAAATATGTATTTATATAAATGGAAATCCGATTTCTTGACGGATATCACCGTTTCTGGCAGAAATGAATACGATATCTGATATCCGGTGGCAAATACGACGGCATTGCATAGGCTTTCATTCGCTTCTCCTATGAAAAATAATTTACAATTTTATATTTTAATACATTGAACCGTATTTATATTATATTACATCCCCTTTTATAATACAAATTTCTAACTACTAATAAAAATCATATTAAAATCTGAATTGGAACATCGTGAAGTGTCAGTAAATTGCGCAAGTATAATTGGTACTAATGTTAACTATATTTTATGAATTCCTACCCATAAATATCACTCAATTTTCAGTGAACTCCTGGATGTCCCCTTTGATGACCACAGAGCCAGTCATTATCTTTTTGGGCAAATCGTCGTTAATTAAGATTTGTTTGGAAAGGAACCGGTGTTTCGGTTTGAGTCCATACAACTTGTGGTCAAATCGCATATTCAAATAGCCCTCGACCACAGCATTCGCACGAGTCTTAATGGTGTCACATTAAACATGGTATTCCAGTACCTTGTTACCATAACCGCGTCAAACGGATTGCCCTTATGGCCACCCGGTGAGTGACCCAACTCCCGGTGCGAGTCGATAGGTATATCTAATACATATAAGGGAAAGCTATGAGATGTCTAGTCCCAATACTAATGCATGTTTTATCTTCTTGTTTCACTTTTAAATTAAGTAATTAATCAAATTTTGTTAATTACTCACAATTGGACACACATTAGACAACTCGACGGCGATATCTCCACCGGAGCCCCCGATGCCCACCACAACCACCCGTTTGCCCGCAAACGCCTTTTTTTCTTTGAAAGCGTGTGAATGCATGAGAAGTCCCTTAAATAGGTGTTGATTCTCGTACGTAGGCATTGATGGCTTGTTGTTATGCCCGGTGCACACCATTACCCCATCAAATACCTCGTGAATTAGGCGGTCGTTGTTGGTGTCGCGCACCGTTAGCCTCTATCTCCCAGCCGTCTCGAAGTCGACATTTTGTTCGCAATTTATTATTTCATGTCTTACTCTGACGTGTGCTTTGAAACCACTTTCCTCGGCATATAATGTCAGATATTCTGCCTTTTTATTAAAAATTATTTTTTAAAATTAATAAATACAATGATTGTACAAATATATTATAATATTATCGTTCAGTATTACTTTACATTTAGTATTTCAATAGTAGGATTGATAAAATTTTTAGCACAAATAATGAAAATACCTGTCAAAGATTTTAAAATGTTGGCTTAATGTCGGACTACCACACTAAATAGTGTATAAACTTTTTTAATTAAATATTTAAATAACCTTGTCTAAGGACGATCACAAAATTAAAGCATCAAAAAGTATTTATTACAGTTTTTTAGTAAAATGCTATTTACTAGACTAATGCTAATATATACCAATAGTGTAATAATGAATAAATAAATGCCATTTTCGTGTTATGCATATAATTAGGGAAGTGTTTGGGCGCCGGGAAGTCCGAAAAGAGTGTAATCGCTTTGCTGGTGTTGATTATAGTGGACCTCATGATGGAGGCGCTACCCTCCAGCTCCTCATCCCTATACAGCCAGAGACCGCATATCTGGTCGGTCTTCTCATACACCACGACATCGAAGCCCTGTTCCCGACAAGCATTGAATGCACCCATACCTGAGTTTCCGGCGCCGATCATTGCTATCCTTTTGGCAGCCATTCCTACGAACTTTTGTTTCACTCAAAGAATTGAAGTTTAGTTTTATATGATTTCAAGTTTTTAAACAATTCATTGCCATTGCGTTCAATAATATTTTCTGATAATTAAGTTTTCCTTTTATAGCTGTAATATATACACCGGTATATTAGCTTTGAGTAGCGTTCCCAGAACCTCAAGGTTGGCCAGTAGTCTCAGGGAAACGGGGCTCTGATTTATGTTTCAATTAAGAGATTTTTCTTTGATATGAGACATTCATGGTATTATATATAATTATAGAATTTATATATAATTTGGCTTAATTTTAACAAAAAATACTTTAAGTAACTATAAATATACTTTGATTAATCGTAAACACTCATTTTCTTTATATTTTTAAATAAAAATGCTTTTAAACAATTCATTTAATTAGTATTGGGTTTTGATCATTCTCAAGGATTTATGATTTAGACCTGCGAACACTAACAGTGAATCATAAAAGTCAGTAACATATACAATTACTATGGTTATAACTTATAATAACAAAATGTCGTTATTTCTAATATAATTGTTATTATTTAATAATTATCATTAATACTGTCAAATTTACGAGTATGATAATTATTTATAATTTATAGTGATTGTTATATTTAACTAAATATCATAATAAATATTTAACATAATACATAGACAAATTAAAATTAGCTAATATACTTAAAATAATTTCAAAATCGTGACGATAAAACAATTTATTAAACATGCCTTTACTGAGAAATTTATTATTATAATTGTTTAATAATTAAACTCAAATAAGTGATATTGATTGTATTGTTTGTATGATTTAGTTGAATGGATAATTATATGACCAACAATAATTAATTACTTGTTTATAATTTATTACTGATTATACATTTACCTCAAATGAAATGCACTGCAAATGAAATGAAATTATATTTGAGATGCTTTTTAATAACTTATTATTATATCAGATAAATAGGGGGAAAGGGAGTAGAAATCATTAAAAAGAGAAACTCAGGTGTCTTATTAATTTTCAAACACTATAATATATTGTTTTATATGTATTTTCACTCACATTGAACTAACTTGATGATTAAATTGACATTATATTTGTGTTTAAATATAACACTTAAAATGTATTTAACTGAAAAACTAATGTATCTAATATGGGACGGTGCGAAAGACCTAGCTGGAAATGTGTTACATTTAAGGACTAGATTTGTGACAAATAAAAGACTCGATGGACAGGTAGTGGTCATCACGGGTGCCAACACTGGTATCGGTAGAGAAACAGCTCTTCAATTAACATCACTCGGCGCTAAGGTATGTATTATTCATTGAAAAAAAAAATTTATTTTCCTATTAAAACACATGAAATGCATTTAAGTAAATTACAATAGCCATGTCATTTATATACACTATGTATGTTGACCAAGCAGGTAATAATGGGTTGTAGGGACCTAAATAGGGCCGGCAGTGCAGCCGACTATATAAAAGCTAACAACAAGAACGCGGTCTTAAGTGTCATTCAATTGGATTTATCATCACTCGAATCGGTCCGAGAGTTCGCTAAAAAAGTTTCGGAAACGGAGTCACGCATTGATATCCTTATAAACAACGCGGGAATCGCCGGCATTCCTGAACAGCGGACCACCGATGGCTTTGAGATGCATTTCGGGACCAATCATTTGGGTATTCATATTGCAGTCCCCGTCAGTTGTGTTCAATATATTTGGATATTAACCGTAACTTTTATGCCATAACTTTAGGTCACTTTCTACTAACTCTATTACTGTTGCCCTTATTGAGGAGCGCCCCCAAAGCCCGGGTAGTGTCGGTGTCGTCGTCTTTTTATTTAGTGGGAAAAATACATTTCGATAATATAAACCTAAGTGACGGCGCCTACACTAATTGGAAGGCCTACAATCAGAGCAAATTGGCTAATGTGCTGTTCAGCCGAGAGCTGGCTAAACGGTTGGGCGCCAACAGTACAATCAGTACGTATAGTTTGCACCCAGGTGTCATTAAGACGGACATTGGCCGAAACTATAGACCGTATGTCGTGAAAGGCGTGTATAATATGATCGGTCGCCTACTGTTCCTCACGCCGCGAATGGGCGCTCAGACGTCGCTGTATTGCGCTCTGGAGGACAGCATAGAAAATAAGAGCGGATTTTATTACCAGTAACATTTTATGTCAATGCTGACCTTGTCTCAAATTAAACTATCTATGTTGACAGGGACTGCAAACGATTTGAGTTAAGCCCGATTGCAATGGACGACACGGTTGCTGAAAGACTGTGGGACTTAAGCGTAGATTTAGTGAACCTCGAGGAGCACCTAAATCTACCAAGTTCATAACAACAGACCATGTTATATATTAAAATAGAATTATAATAAATGTATAATTTATGTAAAATTTCTGTATGACATATAAATAACTTCTATGCTGTTCAACATGTTGTAAATTTAAAAACTTTATTATTAACATCGTCTGGATTTATATAAAATACTTTGGTAGTCTTTGTATTTATAGAATTTGATATTTTTACTAAATTTTTATTTTATATATAATATACAGAGCTACGATCCGTTGTGAGCAACAAAAGTATAGTCACGCATAAAATGCTATTGTGGAAAACATTGTTTTGGCAAAAACCAGTTTGAATACAGTATTACCATACAATGGATATAAATAGTGTACAAATAATTTTAATATTAAAGTATGGTTATAATTTTAGAAAATAGGCTCACAATTTAATTAATTTTGTTAACTATTTAGTTAATTTAGTTCACAATTAAGCTAATTTTGTTAACATACTTTACTATTTAGTTAATTTGGTTCACAATTAAGCTAATTTAGTTAACTTAGTTTACTATTTAGTTAATTTGTTTCACAAATTATAACCATATTTTTAAATATTAAAATAATTTTTATACATTATACAGTATTTTATGTTTCATATAAACACTTTTGTAAAATCTATTATGCGTGAAGAAACCTCTATATTTGGTTAAAACTCACAACCGATCGCAGCTCTGATAATATATCAATTTATAATTACATAAAATGCTTTTTTTCTAACAAGGAAATTTTTATATAGTAAAATATAAGTATTTATGTTTCAGATGTATAAATATGATAATTACCTATAATTTATGATGATTATACTAGTACCAGTACATTAACATTTAAATACATATAACTAAAGCATCCAAATCTAGGTGGTAAAAAAGACCTTTATAGTCACTATCATAGTTGACAAAAAGTGGTCAAATAGTTGGTTAAATAGTTATTTATTTTTCCTATGTTTTCAATAATTTCACTGTTTTAGTTAATATTACGAAATTCTGATCTATTTTGACCTCATATTATGTAAACAATTTGTTTACATCTTAATTATATCATATTTTAGCCACTAAACAATATTAAATTAACAGTCATAACAGCAAAAATATGTGTACTTAAGATTTTAGTATAAATATATTTTAGAATTCAATTCTCTCACATACTATTTTCCAAATATAATAAATTATAAATTAATATTTAAATTAGTAACTTTTATATTATAAATACACGATTTAGTTAATTCAATTAGTTAAGCTAGCTAATAAATCATATATTAAATCAAAATTTTAAAGAATAATATACTATGTATGTATACAATAACCAAAAAAGTACAATATTACAATATTACTTACCTATAGGTAAGCTAAGCCTTATTTCTATTAGTAATTATAATCAATTTCTTATATTAATAAGCAATAAAAATAAATATTTCTATATTTCAAATTCAAAATCTCAAAATAATGCCAAATTATGCTTAAAATTCTAAAATAATTAAAATAGTTACGAACCCATCAAATAGTTATTTATAG